CGTTTGATTGTGTCACTCAAGGTCATATTTTTATATTGCACCACACAATCAGAAACTGTCAAACTGGAATCATTGTAAATCTTAAATAATGCTTAATAAATCAAATTGTACTCACTTTTAGTTCTCAATAACCTGGTAGTTCTTTATTATATGCTATAGTATCAAATTGGTAAACAAAAGGTAATTCAGTAAATAATAGGCCACTACAAAAGATTCACCTTTTAAGTGCAACACTAAACACTAGTGTAGTAGTGAGCAAGTAAATTCGGTGTAGAATTAAGACTGGTAAATTGCTCTCATTAAAGGTATTACTTTTTTGGAAGAACTACAAACAGTGCCAAGGGCGTCCCCTAAGGACCTTTTGGGAATATTTATATTTTGCAGGGCCCACTCATATTTTTTCAATAACATCAAGCTTCCACTGCCAAAAAGCTCTGTCTGATATTTTTATTTTCTGGAGTTCTTCCAACCCAGGGGCAACCAACATTTGTAAAGATTCATTTGAGAGCATTGCAAGGAGCAAATATATTTAAATACAATATTTAAATATATAAAAGTAGTAGGAGGGAGTTGTTTTTATTTTTCTTTACAGAGCCATCGGCCTCGGTTGACTAATGGATAACGTGCCGGGCTGAGAAACTAAAGGTACTAGGTTCGAATCCTCTCGGTGGCACTTACTTTTTGTCTAAGATTTTTGCATATCAGCAAGTTTGGTTAGGTTATGACCGTTAAATTTGATAATTAAAACATTATAAAATTCAATTTGAGCTATTATAGTTTTAAAACTATTTTTTTTCTATTAGTAAACCTTCGTTCGATTTTTTCATTATCAGCAAGTTTGGTTAGTTTGGTTAGGTTATGACAGTTTAATTTTAAAATTAATACTTACTTACTTACTGCCATGGCCACTTGTACCCTAGCTGGTACTTGGCCTCGCCAACACGCTGTCGCCAATAGTCTCGGTCCCATGCATCTTCCTCTACAAGCCTCATCCTTTCCAAATCTTTTATTCTATAATTTATAAAATTGAATTTGAGGCATTTATAATTTTATTTTATGAACAGAACTATTTTTTCAATTAGTAAACCTTCATTCGATTTTTATTTTATTTCTTTTTTCATACAATCAGCAAGTTTGGATGGTTAGGTTAGTTTATGACAGTTTAATTTTATAAATATTCATTTTAGCGAATTTCCCTATAGGGAATAAGCTATTACCGTAGTACTCATGGTAAGACCTGGACCCGGGACTGATTTACTTTTTCGTTTTGAGGTCCCTAGAGGCCAAAAACATAATTCGTTCAAATTCATATATATATATATTTATATATGTGTCCGTTAGCGCGATAACTCGAGCAAAAATCATCCGATTTTGATGAAATTTGGTACAAATGTGTAAACCTACGTTTATTCGAACGAGTTCGCGAACCAGCATGATCAGACTATGGGAACAGGGGTTTATGGGGGGTTTTATGGGGTAAAAATTGGTATTTCCCATTTTTGACCCTAAAAACTTAAAGTTTAGCATTTTCTTTCCAAACTTTTTTGTAGAGCTTAAAAAAACAAATAATTATTGATGGTATATTGATGCGCGGTTATGTGCCTAATAGTTACGGAGAAAACTCCAAAAAACTGTAAATTAAAAATTCCCATTTTATTCTTATGGAGAATAAGTAAACTGTTGTAGTTTGCTTGTTTATGAACATATTTTGATCAAATTTGGAAAATGCATTCATTTCATACCCTGTTGCAGCAAACCTAAGTACTTATTAAACTAATGTTATTTAAATAAGGAATAAATGTGATATTTCTAAGGAGACATTTTAGTGTAAATCCAATCAGGCAAATGGAAATTCGCTTAGTCTGCAGGTTTGCTGCGGCGGGGGTATTTTAACTTATTGAAAAACTGCAGCATAGGCTATGCATGTAAAACAATGCGGGCTTGTTTGGACGCCGTCTAGAGGGGAGGTGGAGGGAGAATCATTTCCCCCTACTCCGCAGCACCAGGGGACAACATCGCAATAATACAACGAAGGTATACGTATACAGCGAAGGTTTAGACTCCAGTCAATAAAAATCATCCAAAGATAAACAAGTAAAAATGTCCACAATATCAAACAGCTGATAACTAATTTATATCACAAGCACAGTTTGCACTAAAATGAGTAATAGAACTCGTGATAAGTCACCAGTAAGTGGAAATACAATTTTCAACAATTTGGTGGCAAGTGGAATTGGTGTGGACTATGGTGAACTGAGTCACAGTTTTGTTAATGAAATTGATTCGTCATCTCCTGAACCCCCGGCTTTATCTGACGATGATTATATAATGAAGAATTTGATTATTCAATTCCTGAATAATCTTCCAGAGTTATTTGGTGACGACAGTGATGCAGATCCTGACTACTTTCCAAGTGATCTACATACAACTTCTGATGAGGAATATGACATTGATCAACCTAGCACTTAAACTCGAGGTAGGCCTACTGTCTTGCCTCCCAAACGACTCAGGTTCCTGATGATAGGCCTGTTTTAGAAAACGATATGCCTCTTGAGATTACAGAAGGGGCCCCGAATGTCACTGAAGCAAGGCCTAGGCCTAACAATGAACCTATTATTTGGGACCTGGTTGAAGAAGGAAATGATCGTAGAGCTGACAAAAATTTTATTTTTGATGAGATGATAAACATTGCCCAGATATTAGGCTTAATAGTAAACCTACTGACTAATTTTACTTGTATTTCACCGTAAATCTTTTGACCTGATTTGTTGACATGATCAATTTGTATGTTCGTCGCTACCTAAGGTCGCACGACAACCTCTTTCTTTCCCAATGCTAAGGCTAGGAGCTGGAAACCAGTAACATTGATCGAATTGAAAGGGTTTTTAGCTATAATATTCTGAAAGTTACTGGTCAACCAATGATCTATTAGCTACCACAGATGTTTTTTAGAAATCACTTCGAGTGCTTGCTGCAATTTTCTCATTTGGTTGACAATACAAACCTACCAAAACCAGGAGAGCCGAATTATGATCCCTGTGCAAAGTTTGAACCTTTGGTACGTCATGTTAACTGGGTCTTCAGAACATATTACATACCTCACAGGAAACTGTCGGTGGATGAAAGTCTCGTCGGCACCAAAAGTCGATCCAAGCTGACGCATTATCTACCCAATAAGCACCACCACAGGTGGGGGATAAAGTTGTGGATGCTGTGCGACAGTGTCAGTAAATATTGTCCGGGTTTTTGTTGTTTAAAGGTAAAACAGAAGATGGGGAAACCTGAACATGGCCTATCCTACAAAGTAGTGATACAACTTTAACAGCTCGGACCGTACCTTAACAAGGGATTTTCCCTGTTTGTTGATATTTTTTTTATGTCCATCCCACTGGCTGATTACTTGTATATTAAATTGACCTACATAACTGGTACAATAAGGAGAAACAGACAAGGAATTCCAGATGCCATGAAAGAAAAGTTTTTGAGGTTGGTCAAAGAATGTATCAGCGCAAAGATCATAAGTTGATGTTGGATATCGAGAAAAGGCTTCACAGAAGAACCCAGTTTTTCTTTTATCTACAAAATGTGTAGCTAAGTCAATCCAAAAAGGAAAAGTAAGAAATAACACATAAATTGTCAAAGAAAACCCAGAAATAATTGACCTTTATAATTCTTACATGTGTGGCATTGATCCCTCGGATCAAATGCTGTACGTTTATTTAGGTGAGAGATCTACCTACAGTAAAGTATTGGGAAAAAGTTGTTTTCAATATATTTGGAAGAATGATTTTGAATTTATACCAACCTTTTATTTAAGGAAAACAATACAGGCAAAGATATCAACGGACTTCAGTTCACAGTACAGATTATAGAGGAATTGTCAAAAGAATGGCTCGAGCGAAGAAATGTACCAAATCATCTTGCAGGAGGAGATCATCCAGTTGAAAGATTTGGTATGGAAACTCTGCCTGACAGAAAAGATAGGAGCTGTTGTGTGTGCAGTCCAATTAGTTTGTCAACGGGAGGGAAAAGGAAAAAATTAAGATCTGTCTGTGTACGTTGCCAGAAAGGAGTACACCCGGTGTGCTTCGCACAACACAAGTGTTCGGAAAAAATAATTTGTTTGTAAATATTAGTTTTAGGGCCTAGTGGTATTTTCGTAAGAAAGGTGTTTTTAGTTATTATTCAAGTATTTTGTTCAAAAATATAACTTTTGGTTGAAATGAGCAGTGATTTATTGAATTTGTTTAGTGTAGAATGCAATCAAAATCAACGATTTTGTGGACAAAAATATAAATCTGCATCATCAGCTTTATTTTTCAAGGTAATACTTTGAAATTTAGACAAAATAGGTACACCCTACTAACAACTGCATGTACTTTCAGGAAATAACACTGAATTCTAAGAGAAAAATTTTTGAAATGTAGTTATTGTAAGTCGAAGTGCAAATGTTTTTTTTTTTTACCATATTAAATTTCTTTGCTTTTTAGTTTTTTTCATAAATATTTTGTTACAGTTATATTTTTGTATCATTTTGTAGACAATTTCATTTACAACTAAATAAAAAAAATCCCTTAACAAATAAAATAGCTAGAGCCATTTTTCTGCAACACTGCATTGTACAAAAAATGGTCTTGGCATTTTTTACATATATTTAATTAAAATAGCTGGCGGGGAAAGGGCTAATAGAGCTAGATTAATGTCTATAGGTGTTTTTAGACTACCTACCTATAAACCACAATGTTTCTCAGGACTCGCACCTATGTCTGATTCACTTCTTGATCATGAGATCTAGGATTGCTGGGTGATATGTTGTTTGTGGATAAAAGAATGAGAAGGCTATGATTTTTCACAGTTATTTACTAACAAAGAATTTTATAACATTATTCATAACATCATAAGTTAATAATGAGAATTAATTATTATTTACAATGTAAGAGACCTCAGGATTACAAGTCTTGATTAAAGAAGATTGTAGTCCTATCTGTTTTTGGTTTTAGATAACTGTGTGAATTTTGGTTAGCAATATGATGGAAGTAAGAACTGAAGACATTGAAAATGGATATGAAAATAATGGAGAAGAAGTTGAATTCAAAAACTTGGACTTCTCTGAAAAAGCAATCCGACAAAGATTTATCAGGTAGGGTAGAAGGTTATTAGGGGTAACTTAGTTGGGTTCTAACTTGTTAACATTTTGTTATAAAATCAACCCTTCGTATTAGAAAACATTTTTTAAATCTGTAATGATGGATAGTACCTAGTTGTCATTCTTGGGAAATAATGAATAGAAATTCTAACGAATAACAGAGTAACAGACGAGGAAGAATCAGCGACACCAATTTTGAAAAACAATTTCTTTAAAGTTTGGTTTGGAGAGAAAGGGCTAATTGCCTGAGAATAGGTGTGAGAAAGGATAGGATAAGCAGGCTTACCTTTATTAAAGTTTAATAGGCATTTAAAGTAAATTTTGTCGTAGTAATGAATGTTTTTACATTACATGTAATGTAAATGTGACGATGTTTAATTAATATTTAATTAAAACACAATAACCACAGTAACCAAGATGTGTCATTATTTCATTACATATGAAATCCTTTAAAACAACCGTCCAACAAACAGCTATCTTCTACAAATGTTGAAAACTAACTTTATTTTCTATCAGTTAGTTTTTCAACTAACTAATAACTTCTATCAGTTACTTTTTAAACTAACTAACTAGTAACTTCTATCAGTTACTTTTTATGGGACTAACTTCTAACTTCTAACTAGTTAGAAGTTTTGACTAACTTTCCCAACTATGCTAGTTTTTTTACAACCATAGTTTATTTTTGTTACCTTTGAATTTATACCAGTTAAAATAGTTGTGTAACTAGTGGGCGAAGTGGTACTTTGCTGCAAACGAGAGAAATGTTTACTCACAAGCAGCCTTAGGCAAGTGTGGAAAGTTTCTCGAATGCAGCAAAGGCAATTTGCACTTGTGCTATACATTATATTTTCCTACAGTTATTATAAAGCATAGAAATAATTTATATTTTAAACACTAAACAACACGTTTTAGGTTAGGTTAAATCCAAGTGTTGATCGAAATGGGAAATACTGCAACAGCTGATTGTAGTCTTAGTATCTTTAAGTGTTGCCAACCTATTTCCAAGCGTACACGGATTACTTGCATAATAAAAGCACGTTGTTTTGTGTTGTTTGGTTGTAATACTGGTGTGTGCAAAAAGAAAAAGAGTGCGGCAAATGTAAGTAAATGCAGCAATTAGCAAATTTCTGTACTATAATCAGTGCAAGGAAGCCCGCTTTGTCAGGTGACTGTAGGGAAAATAATTTGTTTGACCTTTACTTTTTTTGAGTTATTTGTAATTTTATTTGTTATATTATTCTTCTCGTAATGTGTAAATTTGTGCTGGTGAAAATATAAAAGTAGTCTAGTAAAACAGTTGTGGATTTTTACAGGAAAGTCTACGGGATCCTGACGTTACAGTTTCTGATTTATTTTGGTTTTGCCTCCATCTTCATGTATGTTGAACCAATGAGGCAGCTTGTTGTTGAAAATTTGGACAATTTGTAAGTTTACATTTAATGTAACAAAACGAGTTCATATCTGTAAAGAAAGAGGTTTTATCAATAGATTACAGGGTGTCTGATTGGCCGAAGGTATCAAGAAACAACTATCTCGTGTGATATGAAAATGTATTTATTGTTTTGAAGTAACTAAAATTAGTCGTTATAATACAACCAAAATTTATTTCTTATAAAGTAAAGTCTAATATGATCACTATAAATTGTCCTCACAAGCAGTGGTGTAGCGACAGAGGAACGAATTAACAATCAGAAAGTACAGGATCCTAAAGCCTGGTGCGTATCGCGTTTTTTTGCAGTACAGTCATAGGCAGTAATAAGATTTGTCTTAGTGTCACTGCTATGGCGTTTAGTTTTACAATACGGAAATAGCTCGTGATTGTTCGATAATCCATCATCTAAAGGGAGTCAGATAACTGAAGGCATTGACAGTCATATTGGTACCGGTACACATCAAATGTAAATTCAGAGTACGGTTGGATTTTTTTAGAAGCGATTATGGTGTAATGGAATATCTTTGGAGATGTGTGACGGCCTGGCATACTGTATTTGCCTCATTTTGTTGTAATTTGTTAACTTTGAGCTTAAGCTGATTGGCCTTACTCCCTAAACCTGGCCCGTTGGCTATCACCGAATATTTGCTAGGTTGATGTGTCAACCGTATTTAGCAATATTGAATTTTATTTAACTTCACATAAGTCTCCAAGTGAATCTTAAAACTCATACTCCAATTCATTTCATTACTTTGTAACCCAACAATCATCCTAGCCAGACGTCGTGGCTTGGCCGGATGTACCCTGGAATGTGCTGACTTTGCATGCACGTGTGTCGCGATAAGCAATGCTACACTTCTAGACTCGGTTCCTCGCTTCAATTAGTTTATATAATAGGTTACGTACCTTGGTCCGTCTTCAGTCTTATTTTAGTCAATGGATGACTAGTTTCGGGTACAAAGACCCATTGTCAAATCCTTTTCAAAACATCATGTAGAAGCTAGTCAAAAATCCGACGGAAGTCTTCATCATTATATAAATACAGGTTGACACATAAAGTTCATTATTTAAAAAACACAAGTTACGGAACATATAAGACGATTGATAGGCCGGCCACATTTAACACGGGACAAACCGACACAGGTTACACGGCGGACACGACAGAACTATCCATTGTCCAGTTGGTGACATTGACCTTGGGGGAGGGGGTGCGTCAGCTGATAAAGACTTGTATTAGCTCTGTTGTCAATGCTTGCAATTCTATCGAATAAAATATTTGAACCAAAATTTAGTTTTTCATTCAAGACGTCTTAAGGGGATTTTTTATTAGCTTTATAAATTTCTAGACTCTCTAAGACGTTCATGAGAGGGCCTTTACTGCATTTGTGCAAGATTTGTAAATTATTACGGCAACTATTGACATTGTGATTGGTATTAATTAAATGTTCTGCAAATTTGGAACGTTGTAGTGACAGTTTTGGTTTAGGGAGATGTTCTTTAAACCTGGTGTTAAAAGAACGTCCCGATTGGCCTATGTATAATTTTGAGCAGTCATTGCACGAAAGTTTGTAAACACCTGTATCATCTAAATCATTATCATTTTGTTTACGGCTGTTTTGGCTCAAATGACGTTGTAGTTTGTTTGATGTTTTACTGGCTAAGGTGATTTTATGTTTCTTTAATTCGTTTTTTAAGGTATAGTGTAGGTTGGCTCCGAATTCGACAGATACAAAGTTGCTGGGTTTATCAATCGGTTTACTAATTTTGTTTTTTTGTTTGTTGATTATCTTATCAATAATACTGCTGGGGTAGCCATTGCTAACAGCTATATGTTTCAGAATGAGGTACTCAGAGTTGTAGTCTTCTGGTGACATTGGGATTCTTAACATTCTGTTAACGAAGCTGTTGTAAGCTGCCATTTTGTGAGCTTGTGGATGATTAGATGAGGCATGAATGGTGTGATCGGTAGTAGTTGGTTTCCTGTATATTTTGAATTTTATGTTGTCATTGTCTTTGGTAAGCGTTAAATCCAGAAAGTTTAAAGATTGGTTTAGTTCGACTTCCAAAGTAAACTTCAAATTAGAAGATATGTTATTTAAATGATTATTCAGAAGCTGCAGTTGTCTAGAGTTGCCTTTAAAAACCAAGAATATGTCGTCCACATATCTTTTGTAAAAAATTATATTATTGCAGAGTTTATTACTGTCGGAGAAAATGGATTCATTCTCGAAGTGGTTCAAATAAATTTCCGATAATATGCTGGACAGGGGAGAGCCCATAGCCAAGCCGTCGTTTTGTTAATAGAATTTGTCGTTAAATGAAAAATAGTTTTGTTCCAAGGTGATTCTGAGTAGGGTTATCAATTCATCAATTGCTTCAGGGCTAAGTTCAGAGTTTTTTGACAGGTTGTCTCGAGTAATATCTAATGTCTTCTTGATTGGGACGTTGGTATATAAATTTACAATGTCTAGTGAAGCCAGTAGGTGTCTATTTTGTATTTTTACATTGGAAAGTTGTTCTACGAGGTCTATGCTGTTTTTTAAGCTATGGTTATTCTGTAGTTTTACATGGGTTCTCAGCAGTTTGTCGAGCAATTTGGCAATTTTATAAGTAGGGGCTGACGTGAAGTTGACTAGGGGTCTTATGGGCATTTGCTCTTTATGGATTTTCGGTAAACCTCTGAGTATCGGAGCTGTGGGTTTTATCATTTTTAGATGATTGCAACGGTCGCCGTTCAAAATTGATTTGGTTCTGTTCAATGCATTTTTTAACCTGGTCTGGAATGTGTCTGTCGGGTCTTTAGATACTTCAGTTATGTTATTGTTCTTGATAAAATCTATAACTTTGTCGTTGTATACATTTTTGTCCATAATGACAATGCATTGGCCTTTATCTGATTTAGTTATCAAACAATCGTTAGTTACTAAATTTTCTTTAATGCATTTAATGGTGTTTAAATCGTGTTTCAAAACTTTTTTCTTGTGTGTTTTATTAGTTAGTATGGAACGAATCTTTTGATCAATAATGTGTCTAACAAAATTTTTAGAATTTTCATCTTGGATTTTGTCAATCGCTATTTCGGCATTGAGTATTTCTGAAACTAGGTTTTTACTCCAGTTACCCTGTTGGAGGTTATGTTTTAGGCCTTTATTTAGGACATTCATTTCATCATCTGTAAAATAAATGTTCGTGCAATTTTTCAATCTTGGAAAAAATTGGTGGTTTATTATGAACTTTTCGACAGGTGTGCTTTGTTGTTGGACTAGTTTGTCTATTTTATTTTTCTGTGTGCTAGTTTTCCTTAAAATTATCTTGTTGATTTGATTATCAATGATGGAAAGGACCTTGTTACTTTGAGCTGGGTGTATAGTATTCAAAAGGTCAATATGCTTTCTTAGAAGTAAGGTATTTAACATGTTCTTCTTTTTGTAAAGGAATTTTATTTCATTTCTAATCCAGCTTAATTCGGCAATGTGTTTAGCTTTTTTGGCTGCTATGCTTTTATTGTTTATTTTTACCTTAACATAATTAGGTATGATGTTCAAATCAATGCAGGTCTTATTAAACTTTATGTTCTGACATGTATTCATTAGCTTCAATTTGATATTTTTGTATTTGTTGGCAATGGAAGCCTGACTGGCGTCTAATTTAAACATTTTTGCCACCAAGACTGATATTCGAATATATAATAGATTGAAAAATTACACCAAGATTGAAAAATTGCACGAACATTTATTTTACAGATGATGAAATGAATGTCCTAAATAAAGGCCTAAAACATAACCTCCAACAGGGTAACTGGAGTAAAAACCTAGTTTCAGAAATACTCAATGCCGAAATAGCGATTGACAAAATCCAAGATGAAAATTCTAAAAATTTTGTTAGACACATTATTGATCAAAAGATTCGTTCCATACTAACTAATAAAACACACAAGAAAAAAGTTTTGAAACACGATTTAAACACCATTAAATGCATTAAAGAAAATTTAGTAACTAACGATTGTTTGATAACTAAATCAGATAAAGGCCAATGCATTGTCATTATGGACAAAAATGTATACAACGACAAAGTTATAGATTTTATCAAGAACAATAACATAACTGAAGTATCTAAAGACCCGACAGACACATTCCAGACCAGGTTAAAAAATGCATTGAACAGAACCAAATCAATTTTGAACGGCGACCGTTGCAATCATCTAAAAATGATAAAACCCACAGCTCCGATACTCAGAGGTTTACCGAAAATCCATAAAGAGCAAATGCCCATAAGACCCCTAGTCAACTTCACGTCAGCCCCTACTTATAAAATTGCCAAATTGCTCGACAAACTGCTGAGAACCCATGTAAAACTACAGAATAACCATAGCTTAAAAAACAGCATAGACCTCGTAGAACAACTTTCCAATGTAAAAATACAAAATAGACACCTACTGGCTTCACTAGACATTGTAAATTTATATACCAACGTCCCAATCAAGAAGACATTAGATATTACTCGAGACAACCTGTCAAAAAACTCTGAACTTAGCCCCGAAGCAATTGATGAATTGATAACCCTACTCAGAATCACCTTGGAACAAAACTATTTTTCATTTAACGACAAATTCTATTAACAAAACGACGGCTTGGCTATGGGCTCTCCCCTGTCCAGCATATTATCGGAAATTTATTTGAACCACTTCGAGAATGAATCCATTTTCTCCGACAGTAATAAACTCTGCAATAATATAATTTTTTACAAAAGATATGTGGACGACATATTCTTGGTTTTTAAAGGCAACTCTAGACAACTGCAGCTTCTGAATAATCATTTAAATAACATATCTTCTAATTTGAAGTTTACTTTGGAAGTCGAACTAAACCAATCTTTAAACTTTCTGGATTTAACGCTTACCAAAGACAATGACAACATAAAATTCAAAATATACAGGAAACCAACTACTACCGATCACACCATTCATGCCTCATCTAATCATCCACAAGCTCACAAAATGGCAGCTTACAACAGCTTCGTTAACAGAATGTTAAGAATCCCAATGTCACCAGAAGACTACAACTCTGAGTACCTCATTCTGAAACATATAGCTGTTAGCAATGGCTACCCCAGCAGTATTATTGATAAGATAATCAACAAACAAAAAAACAAAATTAGTAAACCGATTGATAAACCCAGCAACTTTGTATCTGTCGAATTCGGAGCCAACCTACACTATACCTTAAAAAACGAATTAAAGAAACATAAAATCACCTTAGCCAGTAAAACATCAAACAAACTACAACGTCATTTGAGCCAAAACAGCCGTAAACAAAATGATAATGATTTAGATGATACAGGTGTTTACAAACTTTCGTGCAATGACTGCTCAAAATTATACATAGGCCAATCGGGACGTTCTTTTAACACCAGGTTTAAAGAACATCTCCCTAAACCAAAACTGTCACTACAACGTTCCAAATTTGCAGAACATTTAATTAATACCAATCACAATCTCAATAGTTGCCGTAATAATTTACAAATCTTGCACAAATGCAGTAAAGGCCCTCTCATGAACGTCTTAGAGAGTCTAGAAATTTATAAAGCTAATAAAAAATCCCCTCAAGACGTCTTGAATGAAAAACTAAATTTTGGTTCAAATATTTTATTCGATAGAATTGCAAGCATTGACAACAGAGCTAATACAAGTCTTTATCAGCTGACGTACCCCCTCCCCCAAGGTCAATGTCACCAACTGGACAATGGATAGTTCTGTCGTGTCCGCCGTGTAACCTGTGTCGGTTTGTCCCGTGTTAAATGTGGCCGGCCTATCAATCGTCTTATATGTTCCGTAACTTGTGTTTTTTAAATAATGAACTTTCTGTGTCAACCTGTATTTATATAATGATGAAGACTTCCGTCGGATTTTTGACTAGCTTCTACATGATGTTTTGAAAAGGATTTGACAATGGGTCTTTGTACCCGAAACTAGTCATCCATTGACTAAAATAAGACTGAAGACGGACCAAGGTACGTAACCTATTATATATTCGAATATCAGTCTTGGTGGCAAAAATGTTTCAATTAGTTTCATTAATGACAGTTATGATCGTTTGGCTGCAGCACCAGACGGGCGATTGAATCATGGGTTAAGCGCTAAGCGTGCGCTGATTGGTTAACGATGGTCATGTGACCATTCTGAGGCTTCCGCTCGGGTGACGTTGAAGCCCCAGATCGCGCCGAGATTTAACGGACGACGGTATAGTCCGCCGCGCGCGGTCTCGCGCCCCTTTCTTTTACTCTTACTCTTTACTTCCAAGTCTGTGTACGTTTTAAATTCAATATTGTGTAATTCGTAGTATTTGGTCGCGGTTTGACTTGATTTGTAACGTGTTACTTTAATCGATGCAATTATGTAAAGCTTTATTAGTTTCATTAATGAATTAGCTGATCCCTACTCGCTTGTTTTAATATTCGTTCTTCCTGCTCCCAACCGCTACGAAGACTACAAGAGAGGCCGACTGTGACAGATGAACCTTTTTGGCTGTAGTGCGATCATGTGTTCATAAGTGTAAAATTTTGAGGTAAAATCACAACAAACAAATGGTATATTCTTGGGATTGACAATAGCTAAACGTAAATATTTTTAACTCAGTCTACTTGTATAAAATCATTTGGCCATTAGAGAATGTTTACTATGAAATCGAGACGTGATTCTTAATTCCAAATTAACTAATGAATAAGTTGTTATTACATTTTTGTTTGCAAATTAGTGATGGTTTGATGGTTGCTTTGATTTTTATGGAGCCAGAATTAAAAATTAAATACTTTTGAGATGACGAGATAAACCTTTAGGCCTATAGATTAGCGTGTTGACCCATTTAAATTATAATTAACAGCTAATGCTAAATTCACTAATGCGATCAGATAAGTTCACCAGATACCAAACAGAATGTCGTTTTTATACGACATGCTAAAAGGAATCAAGATTCTAGTTTGGTTTATAAAATGCAGTAGCCTAAATACTGAAAAATGTTCTAATAAATTAGACAATGGATACCGGTGCGGCGGTACGATATACTAAATTAATTAATTAAATTTTAAATGAGCATTTTTTGTGGGTATATACAGTGTTAGGAAGTAGCGCGCTACAAGTAGCAACGCTACAGTAGCGTGCTACTTTTTTGTAGAGTTAGCTGTAGCTACGCTACTTTTAAGATTTTGTAGCTTAAGCTGTAGCTAGCCACATTTTTTAAGTAGTTGTAGCGGAATTCTAGCTACTTTTCTCGCTACATTAACATTGATTGAGATAGTGATTTTTATCACAACCTTACGTGAAACAACCTCTTTCAAACTGAAATTTTCTAGAAAATTAGATCCAACTACTTTCTTGGCTTCATACAGCTGGTCGCAGCCGTTTCATTACCTATTACAACGTTGCGTGGACATGGAGCCCATTATACGAGTGTTATCCACATTTTTGGCTCTCATTTCTTTCATTTGCTTTAACTAACTCTGACTCTGACTTAAAAAAACTGATTTCAAAGTATTTATCAGTCACTTCCTACCTAAAACTCTACTATTACTAAAAATTTAAAACAATACAAGCCTGCAAACATTTGAAATTAATTAATTAACATAAATATATTTTCAATCGGTTAAGAACTAAGCTGACAATGACGGAGGTCCTAAACCCTTGCATTAGCGCGCGGTGGACAGGTAGAGCGCACTTTTAACAATTATTTACAATATTATATTCACACTGACAGAAGACAAATTATTGAAAAAGTTATGTTTTACTAATCTCTGTTATTTTGTCAAGTATTTTAAACAGTTGTACAATTGGGTTGTGTTGCAGATCTTTGGCTGTAATAAGTATCCAAATCATGATTGTCGTGATTTTGTTATGCACCATTGACGCTTGTCGACGTGCCCCTGGAAACATAATCTCTCTTGGATGTTACACATTGGGTACCAGTTTCTTTTTGGGACTTGTGGGTCCCGCACATAGAGAAGAGGTTTGATTTTAAAAGAATAAAATATTCTATTTTACATACTTTTGAAGACCAAAATGTTATCAAAGAGGTGACTTGTAACTAGCCAATTAGGCTTAACACGGTTTCCTTTTCAGAACAATTTTATCTCCAGTCCTCACTGTACTAATGGCCTAATTCATTTTTTGCACTGAGAAAAACCTCTTAAAGCGATGCCTATACAGGGTGGAATGCATAGTGGAAGGAAAATACATAGATGTGCTATTCCCGTCATATGCTAACGTCACTCAGATTGCAAACAAACATCACCTGATTGTATTGCCATATAAGTAAATATTTGTTTTGATTTGATTGTTATTGTTTTTATGATTTTTTCTAAATGGTAAATTGTGTTTGCAATCTGGGTGACATTAGCATATAACGGGAATAGCACACCTGAGAGTGGCTGTGGTTTATATGCAACTACTATTGAGCGAAGCTCAGTTTCCCTCACTTTGTAACTTCTTTGTAAGAGCATCAGAATGTAATGGCTTGACCAATTGATATGAAATTTGGCCAACAGCTAAAGAATACTGAGTTCAATGTTTTGGTAAAAAATATTTGCAAATTTCCTTGTGGATTTTATTTTACGGGTCACACAATTTCGCTTGTTATTTTAATGTAAGTTGAAAGAAAAATTATATTGGGTTTATGACATATGGGTTTATCTCGTTTAATTTAAATAAGATAAACATATGTTAATTGTTTGTAACTGTTTTGTTTACATTTCAATGTTTACTTTCATCCTTGGTTAAAGTTGGAATGTAACAGTTTTTCAATGGAAGTAACAGTTTTGCTATATTTGTTTTGAGCATACCTCAAAGGCCACGTCGTAATATTGGTCGTCGCACCAATAATGCAAATAAATAATAAAATCTTTATTTCTCCACAAGTAATACAATAAAATTACAAAGATCTATAAAAACAAATTATTTACAATGTAATCAAAACTTATTGTTAATTAATTAAATAAAAACAGTTTGCTTTAACTTGCAAAGAAATTAATAATATTGTAAGAGAGTGGCGTTGTGAACAAGAAGAACCAGATGAAGCAGTGGTGGAAGAAGCTGATTATGATAGGCAGTTAGCTAATCAATTCCAACATGAATTAGATGCACTAAAATTTTACACTTGCACTAACTGTTATCGCCAACAACTAACAGCTTCAAACCAATCACCGATTTGTTCGCGTTGTCGTTCAAATGCAACTAAATTCACGGCGTTAAATAATATGGATGTGTCCTGAACGAATTAACTGACCTGACGACTGTAGAACAAATGTTGATTGCACGAGTACATCCCGCTATGCGCATTTAAATGGTCAGGATGGCCAGTTTCACTACAAAGGTAACATCATTAATGTTGAGCAAGATATTAATGAAATAGCATCTGTCTTACCTACACTGCCCGAAAACTTAAAAGTCATCATTGTCCAACGTCAAGGCGTATTTTGGCCATATCGATTTTGAAGTTCGACGTGAAAAACTACAGCAAGCACTTATTTGGCTGAAGGCAAATAACCTATTCTATTTTGACATAACCATTAGTGATGAAGCGCTACACCAACTACCAGTCAATGATTTTGTTCACATGAGAGTACCGTGAAAACCAAGAAAGTCCTGATGAAATCGAAGAAGACCAAGTTGAAGAAACATCGGTGCCTATGATTGCGCAGTCTCGTCAAAGGGATCACGTTCAGAGACTAATGTGGCCGACCGGAACATCAGCACCCGTAAACGAATTCACTAGGGTTGGCTATGTTCCAATGGCATTTCCTCATCTGTTTCCTTATGGAAAACCAGACTTATTAGATTTCATTTGGCCTCAAAAGATATCGCTTTAGCCATTGACAATATTCAAATAATGCTTGCTCATTTATGTGTCTAAAGTGTAACGGCAGACCACCCTAGTTTATATGGATTTTCAAATATAACAGGTGATTGAAAGCAAGAAAAAAGAAAAGAAAAATCCAGCTGATGTTATGGTTTTATAAACCACTGCCAATCTCCCTTCTCTTCAGCAAACAGCACCATTAAAGCATGAATAAAAAAACATACTGAGGCCCGGTTTCCCCAAAATGGGATAAACTTCGTTTATAATAAACTAGTTTATTTTTAAACTCCGTTTAAAATTTGTGTTTGGTTTCTCCAACATTTTACTGGCTTAGTTTAAGATAAACGGCAATTCAAGCAGTTGGCAATCCTGTACGTGTATTAAATATGAGGTATCGTCGGTGGGCTTTGGGCTAGTGTTTCCTACAACGTCCCGCCATTACATTACAACTCGGTAGAGCAGACAGCAAAGTGTGAATGCAGCTAGAATAACATCACTGTTTAAGGTTATGTTATCAAGTTGATTTTTCTTTTAAAACAAGAAGAATTATTTCTACGGAAATGTCTATTAACACTTCCATTTGAGTTAAGGGTCAAATACTGAAATAATAGTTCCCTAACTAATTAAATGTACAAAAAAAGAACTTAATAAACACAATAAATTAAAATATAAATAAAACTTAACTTAATTAGGACTTAACAATATAAGCTAGCTAGCCCTAAGCCAAGCCTATTTTTGTCCAAATGAATTTGTAGTTGCTTCAATTATTATTGTTTCAACACCTACTTTTTGTTTTGAAATTATTTGTGGTTATGTTACTGTTGTTAAGGGCCGCTTTCCCCAAATCAAGTTTAACTCTGATTGCGGTTTAAATTCTAGTTTAACCACAGATCCACTTTCCCCAAAATAATTTCTCCGTTTAAACTAGGTTTAAGTTAACCCTCCGGGTGAGGCTGGTTTAACTGGCGATCCATGGGTTAAACCAGGAGAGAAGAATAATGCTTGATTTTGATTGGCTCTTGGCTGACTTGTTACGTTCGGCAGACGGCAATGGTAAATATCTTTGTTTGACGTTTGTTACATAACCTCAAATAAATTGAACTGGAAATAAATTAAGAAAAAATAGTAAACCAGAACCTATGTAGATAATTCATGACTATTCTAAATTTAACCCTTTGCGGTCTCATAGCCATTTTAGAAAAATGCCTCTCAACTCGAATAGCCAGCCCTGCTGGACTCAGCTACGTTCTATATCAGCTTGTCATGTTTACACGACACAGTGCCTCACAGGTCGTACGGCCAGCACTGCTGGCCACTACTAATTTCCCCGTCAGCTCGTCCGGCCAGTATAGGTGGCCATCCAACACACTTTTTTTAAAATTGTTCATTAACTCTCCCGTAGGCTGCAGCACTAAACAGAGGTAGTACCTCGATTCACAGAATATTAAAATTTTAGTTTGTAAGGTTTCCAACTCTGTATTACGCCATTTTCACGGTAAAATAACCTCAACTGTCAGTGTGTTGTTGTCATGTGAAACTGTGATGTGAGATTACGTTTACCAGGATAAAATATTATTAATTGTGTAACTGTAGGATGACTAGAAAATGTTTTGTGTTGTTATTCATATGTGTTTGAGAACATATGGTATTAGAATATTATTTGTTTAGTTTTTGTTGGTAAACATTCTGAATCGGGATTATTGTAAAAGCTACCTAATAAAGTATTTGTCTTATTAATGTGACAATGATGACAAAAATGTACATAGTGTTTTGTGTAGGCTACAGGAAAAGGGCTGGACACTTAATAGATCAAAATGTGTGTTCCGGCATGACAGTATCAGCTTACTAGGCCACCTTGTAACTAAAAATAGTATTAAGCCAGATCCCTCTCGTGTTGAGGCTATCCAAAAACTCAAGACACCAACTAATGTTAAAGAACTAAGGAGAATTCTAGGTGTTGTCAATTACGTAGCAAAGTTTATTCATAATTTGTCGACCATAGTTCATCCACTACATGCTTTACTGCAAAGTAATACAGAATTTGTTTGGGGGCCTGATCAAGACCAAGCTTTGGAAAAGATTAAACTGTCATTGATGTGCGAACCGTGTCTCGCTTTATACAGCATGTCTAAAGAAACCTTCCTCTCAGCGGATTCTTCGTCATACGGTATTGGAGTTGCACTACTTCAGCTTCAAGAAGATGGAACTAAACGTCCTGTGGCCTATGCTTCGAGAAGTTTGTCATCAGCCGAACGTAATTGGGGTCAAATAGAAGAAGAAGCTCTAGCGATTGCATGGGGGGGTGAACTATTTGAACACTTCATATTAGGGTTCACAATATTACTCCCAGGCTTCAGAGAATACGACTCCGACTGATGATATATACATATGATATTACCTACACGCCCGGCTAACAGTTGATTTTGGCTGATGCACTGTCTCGAGACACAGAGAACTCTGAAGAGGAATGGGAACTTACAGAGGAAATCCTTGCTTATATACAAAATATTGACACTACTCTACCATCAGTTTCGGATGAAAGGTTGCAAGAAATAAATCAAGAAACTATGAAAGATGAAACTCTAAAACATGTGTCTCAGTATTGTGTGAAAGGTTGGCCAGAAAAATCTAAGATTCCAGAGGACGTATTGCCCTACTGGTATCATAGAGAAGATATAAGTGAGCAAAATGGTATACTTCTCTTTGGAAGTCGTATTATAATACCAAATTCTTTTAGAGCTAATGTACTAAGAAGTATTCATGAAGGACATCAAGGCAAAACAAAATGTAGATCTTTTGCAAAATTGACTGTGTGGTGGCCTCGTCTTTCTCAACATATCAAAGAACTAGTAGAAAATTGCAAGATATATGCAAAAATCGTGCTACGAGAGCAGAGCCGCTGATACCAACCCCTTATCCGGATAGACCTTGGCAAATAGTGGGTGCCGATTTGCTGAAGTGCAAAGGTCACTGGTATCTCTTAATCTCAGACTATTATTCCAGGTTTATGGAGATTGCTAGACTAAATGACTTAAAAATGGGCACTATTGTGACATATACTAAGTCCATCTTCGCACTTCATGGTGTACCTGAGACAGTGAGAGCAGACTGCGGTTCTCAATTTGACTGCTGTCAATTCAAACAACTTGGTCGTGATTATGGATTTAAATTGATTACATCAAGCCCAAAATTTCCACAAAGCAACGGCTTCATCGAAGCGCAAGTAAAAAACTTTAAGTACCACTTAGAAAAAAGTGATGATCCCTACAAAATGCTACTTATGTTAAGAGCAACCCCTCTAGAAAATGGGAAAAGTCCAGCGGAATTACTTTTCGGGAGAAGGATCCGCACTTATGTTCCAATAATGTCTGATCAACTAAGACCCTATCTGGTAGACACTGAAAAGTTAAGGGAAAAGGAAGAAGCAAGAATTGATCGTCAAAAGATTTATTTTGACAAAAGATATAGAGCCACAGAATTGCCTACTCTACCTGTTGGAGCTCAAGTCCATATAAAGGACAGGAATCAAGAAGGAACTATATTAAACAAACATCCTGCACCTCGATCCTATATCATTCAAACGCAAGATGGTTGTTTGCGGAGGAACAGAAGATCACTGCAAAGATTTAGCACTACTATGCCTTCTGATCACTCTCAACCAGCACTGCAGACCAGTCCTTCAGAACACCTCAGAAGATCAGAACCTTTCGATCATCCTACAATGGCATCGCAGACAAATTTAGCGAATCTAAGAAGATCAACAAGACAATTCAAACCTACCCGGAGGTTCGATCTTTAAAGGGGAGATGTGTTGTTATTCATATGTGTTTGAGAACATATGGTATTAGAATATTATTTGTTTAGTTTTTGTTGGTAAACATTCTGAATCGGGATTTATTGTAAAAGCTACCTAATAAAGTATTCGTCTTATTAAAACTATATTTTAATTTAACTTACTACAGGTTTTTGGATTAATCTGTTGAAGAAATGAACTAGTTCAAAGCATAGTTTCATAGGGAAAGGGAAATCGCACATAGTTTCCATAGCAACTTCCATAGTTCTTTTGAAGATTTTAAAAATTAAATATTTTATCGTGTATGAACTTAAATAGTAAACTTTGATTATAGTTTTATTTCTTATTTCATTAGCTTTCAATAAAATATAAAAATAACCCCAGAGCCACTGGGGCGGAGCCCGAAAGGATTTTTCAGATAAGAATATGCCTATATGTTAATCGGGAATGTGAGCTGTCATCATGCCAAATTTCAGCCCAATCCGTCCATTAGTTTATGCGTGATTGAACTTCAAACAAACAAACAAACAAACACAAACTTTCACATTTATTATATTATAGTAAGATACAAGCTGCTGTGCCCGTGCTTTGCAACGGGAATAAAATGTGACCTAGAGAGCTATTAAAGTAATTGTGATGTGTGTTTTAAAATACAGCAACTCTATGATTTAGTTTGAAAATATAAACTGATTTAAAAGTGTAAACCTACTTACTTTCAACCCCCTACTTTTTATGTTAATAGATCCAAAAGAATATGACAACATACCTAAGTGTAGCAATAGCATCGATTGCTTCATATTGTTGCTTCGCGAAAGACATGTTTACAACCATTCTTCAACTTTAGTCAAGCCTCTTTATTTGTAGCTTACTATATAAATTACAATATGCAACTTTGATTAATACTTTAAAAAACTTATACAACCTTTCTTTAAAACCAAACATAACCCTCCTAAATTTACATAAAGCGCCACAAACATATTTTTCGAGTAAATAAACAAACACCAGTTTATTGTACTGACCAGCTGTTTCATTAACTAAATTAAATCATGTAAACTCTGGAAACATGCCAGGCGTAGCCCTTTTGAAATCAGCCTGTGGGGGAGAGCCCTTTGGAAATTCGTCCATATCAATACTTTTCGGCAAATCTACACACTCTAAGCTTCATTTTGATGTGTCATATGCCTATATTTTTATTTGGTAAATGGCCTTAACCGTTTACATAAAATTTGATTGTATCACTTTAATAATATAATAGATACATTTTTATATTTTCAACAGATTAAAAAAAACATATTTTTAATTTACTCCCAAAATATGGTTTATCACCTAAACGTGAACACAGTATTTGTTTGTATTGAACAGTTAACTATTAGTATATATAGTTTTATTTCCCTTGACAGATATACTGGGCGCTGGGAATGGTTACCACTGTGATTATTGGCCTCACAATCTTCGCTTGGCAGGGTAACATTGACTTCAACATCCCCCACAAAATTCTACTAGTAATGTCTATGCCCGCCATCTTGTTAGGCTCATTGTTCCTCCCACACAATCCGTTGACTCGACTCATATTCCCTGGAGTCGGAGCCTTTGTTTACTGCCTGTTCTTGTTTATTAACACTCATAATGTCGTACGAGGGAAACACATGCTTGTTTTATCTCCCGAGGAGTATGTGTTTGCTGCTCTTATCCTGCAACTAGATATCCTTACCAAGCCTAAATCAATCTTGAGAGCTCTGTGAGGTTATTTATTTTGCAGGGAATCTCGTAGTTAAGAATGGAAATATCAGAGATACCAATAGGGATAAACCTATTCTAGGGCGTGTTAGAATTTATAAAATAACATAAGTAATAAAGTTGCACAATTTGTGCTTAAGTTTTTCAGGGTTAGGCTAGGTTGAATTTATTAGTTTCCTTAAATTGTAGTTATTTGATAGAAATTGAAAAGAGTATTGTGTGAATGACCATTAAATATGTAAAATGATCTCTTCAGAAAAACAATGGGATTTTATCTTTTTAATTCTATTTTCTAAATGTTTTGAGCTATTTTAATTGAACTATTACTTTACTGTAATATTTTATATTTTCTTCTTAGAATTGAATCTTATGTTGCCATTATGTGTTCATACTGTGACAGAAAATTGTTCATATAGACAATATTGCCATTTGGAGAAAGACTTTTGAAACCCTTTGATAGAGTGACACAATTGCCTTCTTTGTAAAGCAGTTTTAATGTATTTAAAATATTAATTTAATTGATGAACATTTGTTAGGGTTAAAGGTTAAAGCATACAGTAAACCTTCTCTTAACCAATACTAAAAATACCGTCTCTGCCCAGGCTATAATGGAGATACAGTAGTTGTATTCTGATAATTTTTAAACTGGTTAATTTAACTGACCTTTTCTAGGAATCTGGAAATTTCTGGTCCTATATTTATCAAAGTAATAAATTATAACTGGGTCTAAGCGATACTAATACTGTACTTACAGCAAGTTTTTATAATGAAATGTCCAAGCTAATTTTAGAGTTTGTTTCATACATGTATGTATGTATTATTATGGACAGTAATAATTATCAATGTGGTTGAAATTCAACTTTTGTTGAGTTTTTTTTTTTTTATAACAAAGTATGTGTCCCTATTTTTAGGAGTAAAAATGAGCAATACTGTCTTTTATGGTACAGTGAGTCAATTGGTTCAGTTATGTAACCAACACAATCACTGCATACTCATTGTTCCTTCTTTTTGAGTCCATTACCTATATATTATATGAAAACATTGAGAGGGAAAAATTGATGTATGTGCAACTGGAGTTTTCTTTTCATATAATATCAATAATACATTTAGTACGCGGAATATCCACGAAGTAACTGCCATCTGGGCGTGGTGTGATAAGTGGTGGGGATAGCACAGCCATTCTCACATCGGTGTGCGCAGCCACGAGACCTTCTCTGGACAAAGAACCCCCCCAACCGCTTCGTGCTCAACACTTCCAAATCATACCAAAAATAGCCGAGGTCTTTTTGAACGCCTTTGTGTCGTCTGGAAACGAGACAGCGGAATTGAAATCTGAACGGAACATCGGAGCGATTTCTTCCAATCCCGAGCCTCCTTTTTAACACTGATAAGAACGGAATAGTCGTTTAATGATGTTATGTAATTAATAATTATAAATTATTTGTAGACTAATTATTAAAAGTTACAAATACCTGTAAAAGTCAAACTAATCCTTGAAATTCAAATTGTATATTCAGCCATTAAACATTACAGTAATGGGCTATGTCTAATATACAAATATTAATTAAATCAAATAAAAAAAACAATGCATCAGAGATTGGTTAGCAATTATAAAAATTCAAACCTTGCTTAGTTTTAAATTCAAACCGTAAACAAAATAAAAAGTAAAATTTGATCTTGTTCAATATATTTATCCTTAACAAAAAGTCTCCTTTGTATCCTTTAAAAATAAATTGTGAAACTCAATCTACCTAGTTAGGCAAAAATATTGAAGAAATGTTTTGGGATTAAAAATGGATTCATCTCCACCCTCCGGTAACAATCCTGTCCAAAAAAGGTTCTCCTTCAATGTTATACAGAGTGAGAAAGTCTATGGCAGAACTCATTCTTTTCATTTTGTGATCACATCGGTGAGTTCTTTTGGAATCTAACGAGCACAAAGCTTGATATCATAGTCAAGTTTTTCTGTCACTTAGAGAAATTTCAGGGAAATTAGTGCGAGATCATGATGATTAGTTCTCCCAAATTTTCTATTTCACTCTGTTCACCAAGTCATCAGTGACGAGAGATGGCCTACCATTCCGGTCTTCATAGTGAACGTTCGTTCTTCCTTTTTTTTAAATCCGAACCCATTGACGGACTATAATTTCTGATTTGAGAATGGCGCCGCTACCTCCACTACCTATCGAGCCATGCCCAGTTGGCAGTTACTTGGTGGATATTTCTCGTATATTTTACATGGTTACGTATTACTAGTTTAAACCTTTAAAAAGTTATTCAACCGAGGCCCAGTCTCATCCAAGAGTTGTTTAAGAGAGGGTTTACTATAGCTTCGTATTTGACAGTTTTTTTATTCAATCTAAATCTACCCAAGTAAAACACATCTAGTCTGTTACAAACATTTTAAAAGCTGTTGGTACTTGGTAGCTCATCTCATGACAGTTCAGCTCAGCTAAACTCATTTGAAGTTAACTAATTGCCTTAAAATTCTCATTTTAGCAAATTTCCCATATAGGGAATAAGCTATTACCGTAGGTATCATGGTAAGACCTGGACCTGGGACATATTTACTTCTTCGTTTTGAGGCCCCCAGAGGCCAAAAACACACTTTGTTCAAATTAATATAAATTTATTTATTTAAGTGTCCGTTAGCGCGATAACTGAAGCAAAAATAATGCGATTTGTTTGATTAAATTTGGTACAAATCTGTATGTTTATTTTAGCGAGTTTTGTGAACCAGCATGATCTGACTATGGGTGTTTTATGGGTTAAATATTGGTTTTTCCTATTCCCCCCCTAAAATATCCTAATATTTTTGTAGAGCTTAAAAAGAGAAATCATTTAGTACAGGGTGAGGCAATGAAAGCACCCCAATTTATAAATAGTACAAACTCAATTATATTCACCATATCGATATAAATAGCACATCAACACACAGCTTATCTTTTGCCATTTTAACTTAACATAGTCATTTTTTCCCAATTCTTGAAAACAAAATCCTGCAGTTGACTTCCTCGTCGAGTCGTCCTACTTGACATTTCATTGCCATTCCAAAATTCAATAATTTTTCTTTTTTCTATTTGACAGCAACTTAGCAGACGCACAGGTAGCACTGCCTGTGTCTGCTAGTTCCTTTATTTTATTGTTATATTTTTTGGCTTTATTAAAACTCGTATAATATATTTTTAGTGACAAAAGTCTCTGTCCATTATACTTTCTTTAGTTTATAATCACAGTTTGAAGCCTATGTTTTTTGGAATAAACTATATTCATTCATTCAACTATATTCATTCATTCATTCATTCTTTTTAGTCACTTGAAAACTCCATCAAATACTTCTCCAACATTTCTTCAGGAATCACTTTAGTTTTTGGACAATTCTTAGCTTCGGTTCAAGCGAATCTTTGGGGTAACTTTGAAAAGTCTCGAGCTTCAAGTAGCTTATCAGAATACCCCCCCCCCAAAAAAAAAGAGCCAACTTAAAGCTTTCAACTACAAAAGGTTTCTGGCAAATCTCTTTGGACTTTGAGCAACTGACTCGCACTCTTTCAACATTTGTTGTTTTCCAGTCTGTAACAGCGCCATGTTGACCAAGGATGGAATGTGGTCCAAACAATCTCTGGGTTTTTGCACGAGAATCATTATTTTAAAAATAGGTTTCCATATCAGTGTTAATAGCCTCAGGCATAATGTTTACTAAAATGGCATAGTCTAATTGATTGATGTTATTAGCACAGCTGTTCATTCATTGTTGCTTCACTTATAGTGTGACAACGAAAGAAAATTGGGGTGCTCTCACTGCCTCACCCTGTACATTGAAGCGTTATTGTATGCCCAACGGTTACAGAAAAAATTCCCAAAAAATTGTAACTTCAAAATTTTGATGTTATTCTTATTCGATGGTATTCTTTTAAAGCTCTACAAAATGGTCTGGAAATAAATTGTAAAATTGTATGATTTTAGAGTAAAAAATGGGAAAAACCAGTTTTTACCCCATAAAACGCCCCATAAACCCCCCCGTTCCATAGTCCGATTATGCTGGTTCGCGAACTCGTTCGATAAACGTAGGTTTACACAATTGTAATAAATTTCATCAAAATAGGATCATTTTTGCTTGAGTTATCGCGCTAACAGACACACACACACACACACACACACACACATATATATATACTGTATATATATATATATATATGAATTTTAACGGAGGGTGTTTTTGGCCTCTGGGGACCTCAAAATGAAAAGGTAAATACCAGGTCTTACCATGAGACCAATGGTAATAGCTTATTCCCTATATGGGAAATTCGCTAAAATAAACACACCTAATGTTAAGGCTTCCCCAAGACTTCTTGTTGGGTGAAGCCTAAAGAAAATTGAACGTGTAACCTGCATCTAAATTTACTATATATGTTACAGGGTGTCTCAAGTTTGAGCGAACCCGCAATATTTTATTTATGTTATTTTCTTTTTCTATTTTGTTAAAACTTCTGTGAATAATATAATATTGAACTAGAAATAAATGTTGTAAATAAATCTTTTTAACACAATTTTTTTAAAGAATATTCTTGTGGAAATTTGGTAAATAGAAATTCTCTTAGTGTGCAGTTTTGCTGTAGTGGGGGTATTAACTGAATGTAACTTAGTTTTATTCCTTACTGATAGATTATAAGATAATTGTTGACTATGATAGATACTAAGACATCGAAGACTGATTTACTCCAAGATATTTTGTAGATTATATACGAAGACAATGTAAACTTCTATAAAATAGCCAATGCTGATATACAGGGTGTCCCGGAACTCTCTACCAATATTTTAGGGCATTGTTCCTGGGTAGTTAACATACCTAAATATCATATTTAAATTGTCCGGAAGTCCTTAGTTACTCACACAGCCGCCATTTTGTTTTTTTAAGTTATTATTTTTTTCTAAGGAATGGTTAAACATACGAAATTGAAACTTTGCACAAACATTCATGACAACTAGACAAAGCTATCAAAAAATTATGACGAGTTTTAAAA